GAAAAGACATAGAATAAAAGGAGGGGAAAGAGCAGAAGATGAGAGATTTTAGACAAAGATAGTGTAGTATGAATGTAAGTAGTATTCCATTAAAATTTTTGTTCCTCTCTACTGTTTATTACAAACTAGAAATCAATTATTGAAAACAGTTATTAATCACTATCCTGGGCTTGTTAAATGTGTCTTCTATGATAAGGCCCTATTTGATATTCTTCCTTGGCCGACTGAGAGTCACAAAGAATATTCTCAGATGCCCACTGCTCTCAAGAGGTTCACTGCACATTAGGGAGACGCCACACATTAATGTGAACCTATCAGAGTAAGGTGAACTGTCAGCAGTACCAGGAAAATACAATGGACTGAGAAATTTATTCAACTCAGAATGTTTTGAGAAATCTGATTGTGGGAAGAGGTACTGAAGTTGGAACTTAAAGGATGACAGGATTTCTTTACCAGAAATAAGGAGGTAAAGCAAACTGAATACCTTAAGCAAGAGCAATGAAGGTTAAATAAGTTTAGGGCCTATAACATTAAAGAAAAAGTAACACAAACAAACAAATAGATTACTTGAAGGAGAGTGACAAGTGAGAAATCCAGAGTAGATTACATAGATTTTGCTAATATTGGTTCTGTTTCCAGGTATCTTGTTTGATGGTGTCTTTCATATTGTAGTTCAATAAATACTGTTCAGATTTTGAAGTACATTCATCTAGTTTTCAGATTGTATTTCATATTTTTGCACTTCTAGAGACTTTATTATACAAAAATGTGGATTATATATTTTGTGTTGTTAGGATTTTTTCTACACCCAACCTTTGCACAGCTGTCTGTTTTTCTTAGCTTTGTATATGACACTGTCTTATTCCCATAACTGGTGTGCGTGCCTTTCCTAACTTGCACACAGTTTTGAACTACTTGTTGACATTGATTCTTTGCATGATATAATTATTGGGTATGTATGGTGCTCTGCCTCATGTGTTTAAGTAGCTTGTTGTATCCAGCATGTCCATAGCATTTAATTTTTAGCTATTTAATTAGCAGCTGGAAAGATCTGGAAAATAAATTATTATTTATTTAGCACTAAGTATGGCCTAGGTGATAAGCTATATGTATTACATTTGTTATCTCAATTAATTATCCTAACAAATCTTAATTGCAGAAGCAAATGGTCAGAGAAGTAAATCATTTGTACCAAATCAAACAGTTATAATTGGTTATGTTGAAACCAGAACAAATTCTGTCAGAATCAAGTCATGTTCCTTATACTTTCCTTATTATCTTTTTTTCTTTCTGTTTTTTTTTTTTTTCCTTGAGATGGAGTCTTGCTCTGTTGCCTGCGCTAGAGTACAGTGACATCATCATAGCTTACTGCAACCTCAAGTGCCTGAGCCCAAACTATCCTTCTGCCTCAGCCTCCCAAGTTGCTGCGACTACAGGTTATACACCACCACCCTCAGAACATTTTTCTTTTTAAATTCTTGTAGGGATGAGATATTTCTATGTTGCTCAGGCTGGTCTGAAACTCCTGGCTTCAACATCCTCATGTCTCAGCTTGCCAAAGTGCAAGGATTACAGATGTGAGCCAGCACGCTAGGCAGTTTCCTGATTTTCTACTAAGAGGAATCCAAAGTTAGAATTCAAAATGTGGAGAGAACATCAAGATAAAAGGAGTAGAAGATATGCTTTGCTAAATTTCCCAAGATTGTTCATTAAAGAAGGGGAAGAGCTTAATTGGGCTAATCACTAAAATCTAGTAATAATTCAGAGATGAACTAGAACAAATGACAAAAAAATTTATCAGTGACTAGCCAATAAAAATGAGGCTATTTAGAAGCCTAGTGATCCTTAAACACATTTGAGCTGATAATATAATTTCTATATTATAGATGTTTCACTGAGGTTTGAGTGGTGGGATTATAGTATGGTAAAGAAGGGTACAGATGCATTTGATATACTGTGATTTTAAAAAGTATAACAGCTTTCACTTAAAACCATTTTGTAATATATTAAACCTAAATTTGATTCTATACTAAAAATATGGTTAAGAGACATAAAAGAATGAGGTTGCTAAGTTCAGAAGAGAGCCAAAAACCTGAAAATGTAATACCAATTAAGGAAATAGATAACAAAAACAGTTGGCAGGTGCACAAGAAAAATATGAGTTTTATATAGTGTTACTCCACATAAAATTTGAAAAATCTTATTCTTGTAATTGCTTTTGTGTATTGATACTTTCATCCATTAATAATTGACTCAATGATAAAATTCTAATTATTTTAATAACAAAAACCACTGTGATATTATTCAGGCACATTTTCTAACATAAAAAAAGATTCATAATTACAGTTAGTTAAAAAGTGACCTTAATACAAAAAAAAAATGATTGAGGTACAATTTAGGAGAACTTGGATTTAATATGCTCCCCTATTCTGCCAGGATTGAGGCTATAATAACTATACAGCATTTCAGCCCCGTCTAAATTGTTTATTAAGTATAACTTGACACCAGGAACATCTAGGAAACACTTCTGTTTTGGTAAGTTCTCGTTTACATTTGATATTGTAATCTGTAAAATAAACCAGACATAACACAAATAAGAAACTCCTAGTGAAGAAAAATTTAAATAAAAGCTGGCATATGAAAATCATAAATATTATCTAATGCAGATTTTATATGATTAATTTGCATGTTTTATACATTCAATCAGGTTATATGGTAAATACTGACCACGATTTAATTTTCCCCCAATGGCACTGACTAGGTGGTTTATCCTTTGATGCTATAAATGCTTTTTTTTTATTGCAAGTAGAATTTAAACTATTTATTTTATTTGAATTACGTGAATCTTTATGTGGCGAGCTATCAAGTTATCAGCCTGAAAATAGTTATGTGACAAGAGGTTTCATTTTCAGTAAGCATTTTTCAATATTTTTTGACCTTTAACTCTCACTTCAAAATCCAGGTGTTATATTTATTTTACACTGATATACAGTGAGAAAAAGTATATACTCCTTCCTTAAGATATGGTTAATGTGTCAATGATCATAAACTCATATCTTGATATTCTGTTATTCAAATTAAATATTGTTAATTTCCAGAAAATATTTTGAATTAGTTCATTTCCTTGTAGAAAGGAATTTCCAAAATTTGTAGATACACCAAATGCAGTACATGTACTATGCCCAAAAGTTTATACTGTAAGTAAGAGAAAGCTTAAGAAAATTTAATTAAAGATTTTTCCTTTGAAACCGTTTAAAACTCCAGGACAGCATAGATTTTTTGTCCCCTTGTAGCATAAAGACTTCTGTATTCTATGTCATTGAAAATGTGTAACAATTCACTGCTTCTTCTCTCTAAATTTATAAGCTAATATTGACCAAAAACAAAATCAATAGACAGGCAATCTACCTAATAATAAGGAAGTTGATGCCTGAATGAAGCATTTCTAAAATTTCATAGATAAGATTAAAGCATATTCGCATGCCTTTAGAATATTTAATGACCAATCATTACTTAGAGAATGTTAACGTTAGTTGATCCTCCATGTATCAAAACTGTTAGTATAAATCTGTGAATGTACCCCAAAAAAGTGTGGAAGCAGCTATTATATTTTTTAAATTATTGAAAAACTATGCAAAAAATTACATTATTCCATATAACTGTAGTTTGAATATTTATTTCAATACATGCAAGAAATCACCTCCTTATTTTTTATTATCCAACTTGGGCTCATTTGATATTTTAGCACTTTTTATGTTCGCTATGACACACACACAAACATCACACTGGCACACACCATACACTTATATACCTAAGGTGCCCCATTTGTTATTTGTCTCCATCTCCCTCTTATTGTTTTTCCCTGAGCTTGTCCATGTGTTATGTCTACAGAAAGTAGGGTATTAGAATCTTCATGTTTGGATATACCATACTTTCAATTATGAAATTATGCTAAGATTCCCTCAAAACCATCTTGTGCATTGACTTCTCAAAATACTTATTTATTCTGAAGGTACTCAACCAAGAAATTCTTAGCTCTATAGATTTTTATCCCCAAAGTCACCTTTGCAATCTTTCCATAAAATTCATGTAATAAAATTATTTTCATATGCACCATTTTATTGATAGAATAAATAAATATTTCCATTGAGATAATGAAAAACATAAAGGAAAATGCTTTCTTTTTGATATAGGGACAATATAAATAAAAAGCAAGACAAAATTAATAAGCAGTGAGATGGAAACCAGTCACTGTACCAGAAGTCAGAACACCTATAGTTTCCACTCATTATAATGACCTTCAGCCACACACTTCGCTTCTTTGGGGTTATTTCCTCCTTTCTAATATGGAGAGGTTACCCTTGATCATTTTAAGGTCTTCTCTAATTCTAAATTCTATGAAGCTTTACATCGTTTTCTCACAATGCTTCATATTTTGTTGACATGTCAGCAGGGAACTTCACACTTCATTGGAAATCCATTAAAACAATTACCATGTCATTAGTGAAGACTTTTAATTATGAGCTTAGTAACCTAAAGAATTCACTGCGATAGGCAAGATTAGCTCTGTAAGCATGTGCTACGTTGGGATGCATTGAGTGCAGAGATGTCTTTCCTTTGGAGAATTTGAAGCTGACATTCACAAAGCAGTCAGCGTTGTTGATTAGGCATGACAGCAGAAAAGGCAGAGTGGGGTAAAGATTGATAACCTCTCAGAGAGTTTCATGACTAAAAAACCCAGAAAATTGAATGGAACTTTGTTTCATTTGACCTCATTCAATGAGACTATAAAGGGTAACAACAATAGGAGGGACATTACAAAGATGAGGAGGAGTAAGAAAGAGCTGTAGATGTAAACTCATAGATAAAAAAGAAGACTACAGTTATGAATATAATTCTGCTATACTGGAATTTGTTGCAGAATCTCTGGTGATAACTCCCTGCATGGCTGCCTTGTTTTCATATTTTACATGCTTTCATTAAAGTAAATATGGCCCTATACACAGCCCTAATTCAATTAAGGATGTCTTCTTCTCTTCCTTTACCTTCTCCCTCCTTCGCCTCCTCTTTCTCTTCTTCTTTCTTCTTCTCTCCTTCTCATTCTGCTTTCTTACTAAAGTGGAATATTCTATAATGTTCCAGCATTAGATTTACTTGACCTGGAAATTGAAATCAAATAACCTTAAATTTCACTACTAAGTAATTCGATATTAATTAAACATGTTTATAATTATAAGGCTTCTGCATGGCTGCAGGAAGTTCCACTTACTAAAAATTTTATCTTGGATATAAGTTATGTAACTTCTCTGTGTCTCAGTTTCCTCACCTGAAACATAGGGTTAACTTTATTTATAGTGAACAGATTGATGAGAGTGAAATGGCAAGTAAAGGAACTGACAAATTTGCTAGTGCACAGTAGGCACTAAATAAATCATTTTGCTATTTCTATTTCTTTTAAATCCCAAACACTTTTATATCTTTTGTATTTTAAAAACATGCACAGCTTTATAACTTGACCCACCAAATTAAAAATAAAGTCATTAATTAAATATTGTTTGAAAAAACAAATGTTGAAGAATAATCTTGGTTTTTTTCCCAATATATCTGGCTACAAATAAGGTGCTACTCATAGAACATCACACGACTGAGAGTGTCACATCAGTGCTACAATTATCTTAAACTAATATTCTTGCGAAAAAACATTTCAATGGACTATGCTCTGTTTTCTAACCATGGTTAGGCCGTGTAATTTAAGACAGATGATACTGTCACAAGGTAGAGTGTGGGGCTCTGTAGTTACAGATATTTGAGTTCAAATCCCAACTACATCAAGAACTAGTTGTGTGGCCCGAGACAAGTCACTGATCTCTTGCTGACAATATAGTTTAAAAAATTATAAAATGGGCTTAATAATAGCACTATCATAAGACAGTTGGAGACATACAAGAAATATTGGAGACAAAGGTTGGAATATTTGATTTAGAATAGAAATAACAATAAACATAGCTGGTCTAGGCTGCCTCACTAATATTATTGATGCTTTCTTCTTGCCATAATCTATCAGTATTCCTCAAACTCCTTTCTTTTTATTCCTATTTCTAACATATCATATCCTCTTCAAATAAGTCCTCCAGAGAGTGTTTGTAATCATATGTGAAGACTATAAATGAATGATACTCGTCCTTTTTTCTTCAGATACTTTATCAGGGAAAGAAAACTAACGTGTAATGATGTCTTCTTAATACTACAAATGTGAATGATACCCTTCCAATTAGTAATTTCAGATCCATAAAAATGCCTGGTGTTTTGTCAATCAAAAATAATGACTCTAATCTACTGAGTTGTCAAAATATTAACCTAGTGATAAAACTCAAACTTAGCATGTTTTTGTTCTAATATAATTTTTATATTCAGGACCTGTGATATTATTCAGCACATTTTCTAACATTATGATTCATAATTTACAGTTAGTTAAAAAGTGACCTTAATACAAAAAAAATATTGAGGCCTACAATTTAGGAGACTTGGATTTATATCTCTATTCTGCCAGGATTGAGCTATATAACCTATAGCATTTTCAGCCGTCTAAATGTTATTAAGTATATACCTGACACCAGACATTCTAGGAAACACTTCTGTTTTGGTAAGTATCCTCGTTTACATTTGATATTGTAATCTGTAAAATAAATAGACATACACAAGACAGAACTCTAGTGAAGAAAAATTTAAATAAAAGCTGGCACATAAAATCATAAAATATTATCTAATGCAGATTTTATATGATTAATTTCATGTTTTATACATTCATAGATTATATGGTAAAACTGACCACGATTTTATTTCATGCACTGACTAGGTGGTTTATCCTTTGATCTATAAATGCTTTTTTTTATTCAAGTAGAATTTAAACTATTTATTTATTTGAATTATGTGAACTCTTTATGTGGCAAGTATCAAGTTATCAGCTGAAATAGTTATGTGACAAGAGTTTCATTTTCATGTAAGCATTTTCAATATTTGTTTGACTTTAACTCTCACTTCAAAATCCAGGTGTTATATTTATTTTCAACACTGATATACAGTGAGAAAAAGTATATACTCCTTCTTAAATATGGTTAAATGTCTGTCAATGATCATAAATCATATCTTGATATTCTGTTATATCACAATTTAAATCATTGCTTAACATTCCAGAAAATATTTTGAAATTAGTTCATTTCCTTGTAGAAAAGCAATTTCAAAATTTGTAGATACACAAATGCAGCTACAGTGTACTTATAGCCAAAAAAGTTATAACTGTAGTAAAAAAGCTTAAGAAAATTTAATTATAAGATTTTTCTTTGAAACCTTTAAAATTCAGGACAGCATAGATTTTTTTGTCATTGTACATAAAGACTTCTGTATTTATGTCATTGGAAAATGTGTACAATTCACTGCTTCTTTCTCTCTAAATTCTAGCTAATATGACCAAAACAAAATCTATAGACAGCATCTACTAAATATAAGGAAGTTGATGCCTGAATGAACATTTCTAAAATTTCATAGATAAATTAAACATATTCCATGCCTTTTAGAATATTTAATGACACTCATTACTTAGAGAATGTTAACTTAGTTGATCCTCATGTATAAACTGTTAGTATAAATCTGTGAATGTACAAATGTGGAGCACTATTATATTTTTAAATATTGAAAAACTAATGCAAAAAATACATTATTCATATACTGTAGTTTGATATTTATTTCAATATGAAGAAATCACCTCTTATTTTTTTATTATCAATTGGGCTCATTTGATATTTTACACTTTTTATGTTCCTATCACACACACACAAACATATATGCACACACATACACTTATATACCTAGGTGCCCCATTTTTATTTGTCTTCATCTCTCTTATTTGTTTTTCCCTGAGCTTGTCCATGTGTTAATGTCTACAGAAGTAGGGTATTAGAATCTTCGTAGTTTGAAAATTTATCCTGTTCATTCAATGACACCAAAAACCACTCTATTTGGGGTTGTAAATTATTGTTCTTTCTACCATCCTATAAAAAAATATATATCTAAAAAGCCATCGAAATTTTTAGATGAACAGTTACAAAGTTTTAAAAAAATGGAAATAAAGTCATATTCAGGAAGATAAAAAAGCGTAAAGGAAAAGACATAGAATAAAAGGAGGGGAAAGAGCAGAAGATGAGAGATTTTAGACAAAGATAGTGTAGTATGAATGTAAGTAGTATTCCATTAAAATTTTTGTTCCTCTCTACTGTTTATTACAAACTAGAAATCAATTATTGAAAACAGTTATTAATCACTATCCTGGGCTTGTTATATGTGTCTTCTATGATAAGGCCCTATTTGATATTTTTCCTTGGGTGACTGGGAGTCATAAAGAATATTCTCAGATGCCCACTGCTCTCAAGAGGTTCACTGCACATTAGGGAGACGCCACACATTAATGTGAACCTATCAGAGTAAGGTGAACTATGTCAGCAGTACCAGGAAAATACAATGGACTGAGAAATTTATTCAACTCAGAATGTTTTGAGAAATCTGATTGTGGGAAGAGGTACTGAAGTTGGAACTTAAAGGATGACAGGATTTCTTTACCAGAAATAAGGAGGTAAAGCAAACTGAATACCTTAAGCAAGAGCAATGAAGGTTAAATAAGTTTAGGGCCTATAACATTAAAGAAAAAGTAATACAAACAAACAAATAGATTACTTGAAGGAGAGTGACAAGTGAGAAATCCAGAGTAGATTACATAGATTTTGCTAATATTGGATCTATTTCCAGGTATCTTGTTTGATGGTGTCTTTCATATTGTAGTTCAATAAATACTGTTCAGTTTTTGAAGTACATTCATCTAGTTTTCAGATTGTATTTCACATTTTTGCACTTTTAGAGACTTTATTATACAAAAATGTGGATTATATATCTTGTGTTGTTAGGATTTTTTCTACACCCAACCTTTGCACAGCTGTCTGTTTTTCTTAGCTTTGTATAACTGGTGTGTGGGCCTTTCCTAACTTGCACACAGTTTTGAACTGCTTGTTGACATTGATTCTTTGCATGATATAATTATTGGGCATTATGTATGGTGCTCTGCCTCATGTGTTTAAGTAGCTTGTTGTATCCAGCATGTCCATAGCATTTAATTTTTAGCTATTTAATTAGCAGCTGGAAAGATCTGGAAAATAAATTATTATTTATTTAGCACTAAGTATGGCCTAGGTGATAAGCTATATGTATTACATTTGTTATCTCAATTAATTATCCTAACAAATCTTAATTGCAGAAGCAAATGGTCAGAGAAGTAAATCATTTGTACCAAATCAAACAGTTATAATTGGTTATGTTGAAACCAGAACAAATTCTGTCAGAATCAAGTCATGTTCCTTATACTTTCCTTATTATCTTTTTTTCTTTCTGTTTTTTTTTTTTTTCCTTGAGATGGAGTCTTGCTCTGTTGCCTGCGCTAGAGTACAGTGACATCATCATAGCTTACTGCAACCTCAAGTGCCTGAGCCCAAACTATCCTTCTGCCTCAGCCTCCCAAGTTGCTGCGACTACAGGTTATACACCACCACCCTCAGAACATTTTTCTTTTTAAATTCTTGTAGGGATGAGATATTTCTATGTTGCTCAGGCTGGTCTGAAACTCCTGGCTTCAACATCCTCATGTCTCAGCTTGCCAAAGTGCAAGGATTACAGATGTGAGCCAGCACGCTAGGCAGTTTCCTGATTTTCTACTAAGAGGAATCCAAAGTTAGAATTCAAAATGTGGAGAGAACATCAAGATAAAAGGAGTAGAAGATATGCTTTGCTAAATTTCCCAAGATTGTTCATTAAAGAAGGGGAAGAGCTTAATTGGGCTAATCACTAAAATCTAGTAATAATTCAGAGATGAACTAGAACAAATGACAAAAAAATTTATCAGTGACTAGCCAATAAAAATGAGGCTATTTAGAAGCCTAGTGATCCTTAAACACATTTGAGCTGATAATATAATTTCTATATTATAGATGTTTCACTGAGGTTTGAGTGGTAGGATTATAGTATGGTAAAGAAGGGTACAGATGCATTTGATATACTGTGATTTTAAAAAGTATAACAGCTCTCACTTAAAACCATTTTGTAATATATTAAACCTAAATTTGATTCTATACTAAAAATATGGTTAAGAGACATAAAAGAATGAGGTTTCTAAGTTCAGAAGAGAGCCAAAAACCTGAAAATGTAATACCAATTAAGGAAATAGATAACAAAAACAGTTGGCAGGTGCACAAGAAAAATATGAGTTTTATATAGTGTTACTCCACATAAAATTTGAAAAATCTTATTCTTGTAATTGCTTTTGTGTATTGATACTTTCATCCATTAATAATTGACTCAATGATAAAATATTTGAATGTCACTTATTGGATTATAGAACACTGAATGATTTGAAATTCTATTTTATGAATAAAAGTGGTAAATTATAATGATTATTTTACTTTCATTGCTCATTTCAATTTCCAACTTGCTGAGAATTAAGAAAAATTTTTATTTTGAAATAGTGAATGGAAGAATTTCTGCGTGTGTATGGGTAATAAAAAAGAATAAATGAAGTTTACTCTGAAAACATAGCACATATTTTAATAAAATTACATTTTATCCTAATTCTTGGAAATATTACTAAACTCTGGCTTTCTATTGGAAACATTCTTTGCCCAGTAAATATATACTTTTCCTAGTTTTAACTATCATTTACCCCTCTACTGATTCTATTTTAGCAGTTAGTCACAATACTATGTATATGATCTAGACAAACAGAATTCCTGGCCCAAATTTGAGTAAGTCATAACTTGTTCTGGTTGAGAGGATTCTACATTGCTACAGTGAAATTTCAGATCATTACTTATTTTGCTTAGAGTCAACTCAGATTTGTAATACAAAAGCTTATCATTCACTAAGGGATTTATTTTTGCCATCTTCAAAAATAACAAATGATTTGTATGGGTTTCTAGAAAGCTCCATTTCTCCCTCAGAGAATTTTTATCTTGACTGACAGCATCACTTCATCTCTTATGCTGCCCTTCAGGTCGATAACATAAAATTCAAATTGTATAAAGGTTACCAATTAAGTTTTCTATTAAAAATAATAGGAAGAGATATGAGTGCTAAAAACAAGGACATAAATAAGGTAGACAAAGAAAGATCCCCTTACTCTTTCGTCCACACACAACCTTTTGCCACCGTATTTAAATGAAGGGATTTGTACCAGCCAGGAACTCAGAAGCCTCTGCTTATAATTCTCTCATTTGCCACACAGTGCTGGCATTTTTCTTTTCATGAGCTGTTAGTACGTCATGTAGAGGAGCGGCTGTCAGCTCTGCGTCCAGCTGAAATGACTCTGGACGTTCATGCGGTGTGCTTTCACAAAACTCCCCAAGTGATTCTCATCCGTGACCGGATTTGGGCCCCAGCGACATACATTTGTTCCTTCTATGAGTCCATATGTAACCAGAACCGCTCGGCCTTCACACACTCTGAAAATACACTTTGGTTTCACATTGAATACAGAATAAAGTGTCTCGAGGCTGGGTGTGGGGGTCACCGTAGGGTGGAGATAATGGGGAATTGGGTGTTACTGTCTATTCTCCCACCATTCTTTTGGCTCATTCCCACTATGAAAGTGAGATTAGACAGAACAAGGGGCAGTGAAGGAAAATGATTCTTTAAAGCGTAAATTTACAACCAGCAGACACTACCTTAACCCACAATAAAAGTTTACATCACCAGGAATAGAAAAATGTAGCGACATTATTAAACCTCTTGATATGATGCCTTGAGAAGAACACAACATAACTTCTGTGGTATCCTTGCCGAAAAAATGAATAACTTCATCTAAACCACGTGGAGACTTCAGACAAACACAAATTCAAGAACATGCAACAAAATGTCTGACCACTACTCTTCAAAAGTATCAAGATCATTAACAACAAGGAATGACCGACAGATTGTTATAGATGGAGACAAAAATTCTGAATTTTTCTCATATCATTTAGAAAACAAATAGATTTTTGTTTCAATTATACTTTTACCCCGCCACTTCTTGCCTTTTAAATCAGTTGTTTTCTAAAATGCATCAGGAAAAAAATGTTCTTAAACAGTTACCAAAGAAATAAGAAATAGAAATAAAATCAGCCAAGTCGAATCAGCAAGATACAGTAGTTTTGTTTCCTTATATTATCACACTTATTTTAGTTCAACATCTGTTCAATGACATCTCAGGCTATATTTTGGGATGTGTGACAATTTTTTTTTTTCACAAATTCTTTATTCACAACTCAGGATGTTCACATTAATTGTGGTTTGTAAAGGAAGCATTTAACTCAGGGCAGATGCTGAGCAGCATGAGTAGGAACTATGGCAGGTACAAAATGACACATGGAATTCGCAAGTGGGCATGGACAGCCAGATGGTATTGGCATCTGAGAGATTTATTACCCTAACTTGGCAATAAAACAGTGTGATCACTAATTTAACATACAAAACTAGTCCAGAAAAATGTTTATGTTAAACAAATTTCTTCTCTAAATATCAGGTACAACATATTTTATTACATAGTTTCATTTCTCTTTTGAGAGATCCAAATATTGAAAACTGAATTCTTCCTTTGCTGCAAGAGTTCCATTCACTTAGGAAAAGTCATGTCTATATAAGCACATTTAAGTTAAATTGGGGCATTATTCTCCAGGTACTGTTGGCAAGTGAAATCAGAAGTAGGCAAATATGAATATGATGTTTATTGGTTTATCTAAAATTATTAATTTGATCCTACACTTAGTTGTGTTTGGGTAGACACTCTGTTTTTTACATGTCATCCTGGGCTAAAATGTTGAAAATTCCATTTCAGAAAAACATGCAAATTTGGTTTTGGATCATCACATGATTCTTCATACTGTTTACTAAATCTTTACATAGGAAACCACATATAATAATGCTCCAAATTGAATTGAATTGCAAGAATTTTCCTGGAATACTTTTCTTTCTTTTTCCTCCTAGTTCACTACAACTTTTTAAAGTTTCACCTGAAGCTCTGTCACATACCTGAAGACTTCCTAATTTCCCCCACCACGGCTACATGCTCCCTTGTCAGGCAGAGTTCCCTGGCAACCAATGAATGTCTTTGTTCTAGAACACCTCGTAATCTATTAAGGAGGCACAATCGAGCTCACTTGAGTTAGTGTCAGGTGTACCTTGTTTCTAACTTGTATAACTATGGACAAGATATTTCCTTCCTTAGTTCTTATTTTGTATAACAGGGATAACAATTTCAACTCCACAGAAGGTTTAATTTAAAAATTTTTCATTAGATAATATACACAAAGAGCCTAGCAAAGTGTGTAGAACATAATAAATAGTATTTATTGTTGATGTTAATGTATATAAACATTTGACAAGATTCTGAGAATTTTTCAAGGCACGGACTGTAAATTCACCTTTATGTTACAGAACATGCTACATCCTACTTGAACACACAATGCACACACATATGTTTGAGTATGTGTGTGTGTTTAGACTGATTGGTAGAATAAAAAAAAACAAACAGAAAACAAGTAATTTCGGGTAAAATGTGAAAGAGGCTGATAATCTCTGCTTTGAGGCTCTTTTTCTCATCGTCACCTATCCATTCGCAAAACTCAATTGGAGGATTATGGCCAAGAATATATTATCTAATATCAAGTACCCTACATTTATCTGGGGAGTTAGATATAAAGCCTAGAACTAATTTTATCTTTATACTTTCCTGAGGCAAGCATAATAAGATCTAGATCAAGAATGAATCAAGCAGCCATTGATAGGAAAGTGAGTGTACGCAATTCCCTATATAAATTATATGTGGATCATTTTAAAAACATAATTCATTGAATTTTTGTAAAGTCAAGTAAGATTGTGGTTAATTCCATTACACAATTGCAGCCCAACCTTATAAAACTAACTATAAAAGTCTGGCTTTCATAGTTCAGAATTTAGATCAGAGACCAATATGTTTCAGTTTTCTATAATGCAGAACACTAAGGTGATTTTGCAGTGATAAAAAAGATTAAGTAAATCATTTTCTATGACTGATTTCAATTACTAATACTGCAATTTTTTTGTCACACATCTAGCTAAAAATGTAAATTTTTTACTGCAATGAAGGTGTTTTGTCTGTAGAACATGTGGATGTTCTGAAACACCTGGACTATTTTCAGTTTTTATCCCAAAGTGTCTCAGCATTCAAAAACACATTTTATATGTCTGCATACAGATAAAATATTTTTGTGCAAAACTTGAATTTTAATGACTGTATATAAATAGTAATTTAGAAAGAAAAAAAATTTTATTTTATTTTTGATTATATATCTTTAAAAGTATTATAAACTCTGGGAAATGATCATGGAATGGGAAAATGTTTATGATATAATGTAAAATGAAAAAAATCACAATATAAAATAGTGTATATAGTGCATGACCACAAAATGAAAAAAATATGCAAAAACTACCAATATTTAATGATTGCTTACACAATTCTAGACAATGTCTTAAGCATGTTACATGGATAATTTTGTTTGATTTTCAAAATCAACTGATGATGTAACTATTATTTTTTAAAAAAATGTTTTTCCAAACACCAACTTGAACCAGAATAATGTAAGTATTAGTAATATGACCATTTTACAGAGGAGAAACCCAAGTCACAGGTTGACTAAATAGCTTACCCAATATCATGCTGTGAGACTCAAGATTGAAATCCAGTTCTGACTACAAAGCTCATTCACTTTGCCACTATGATACATGTTCTAGAAAAAGAAAATAGGGAAAGCATACTAAAATGTCAAAAGCTATCCTCATCTGATCTTCTTGGGTAAAATATTTTAGTAAAATTTCTACAATGGGCATGAATTACTATTATCATAAAAACAGACTTAATTATAATAACACCATCCATACAATTTAAAATTAAGTATACTGTCAAAATGGTCAACAAAATATATTTTGTAAGTTGCCTCTAACAGATGAAAGGGAAAGCTATTGAGATTGAGAGATATAGTAAATGTAAAATAGGATGCTTTATTCTCATAGCTATACTAATTTGTGTTGTGACTGTAATGATTAAAGGTAACTGATGACTTTGCAAAAGTTATTTTGTTATTTTGAGTCTATGTCTAAAACAAAATTGATAATATCTGGTCAAAGAAAGAAACTAGAGATTAAACAACATCTAATACATTGAATTCCTTTGCATTCCTATGAATGTACACCACACTATCAATGCAATGAATATTACAATTGCATAACGTTCTCTGTCAATTTAAATCCATTGCATGTCTTCAGAAGATACCAATCAGTTCATACTAGTCAGCAACTACAATTGTTATGACTGCTTAAATCACTAAAACTGGTTTATACTATTTGATTTCTAAGGGTACATTTAGGCCAGGTTGAATCAAGTAGTATTTGAGGAGGAAGAGGGGGAAGATTTTTTCCAGATGTGTGATATTCTAAAGCTATAACTGTAATATTCAAAGATTAATTTAAATTGAGAAGAAAGAAGATTGGAAAAATTTGGTATGACCTCATTATTTAAAAAATATTGTTAAATAAAAAACAACAAAACAGTGACAACTCCAAAGACTTTGAGTAATGGGAGGCTATTTCTATTACATAAATAAAGAAAAGTCAGTGGACTTGTAAAATTTGGGGATAAACAACAAGCTCAATGTTGAATCTATTAAATTATTAATAGAAAGGCTCTTGGAATATCCAGGTTGAAACTTCTGGCAGATATTCAGATGTATAGATATGAAGATAAGTTCAAAGTGTACATGTAGGTATGAGAGTCATTTTTATAAAAGTGATAAAATGCTAGACCCCAATTAAAATAAGCCATGAAGAATATATCAGGTGAGAAAAAAATAAAGAATGAAGACAAAAAGCTTGGAAATATTCACTTTTATGAAATAGGCAAGGAAAAACTAGCAAAAGAAACAATAGCAACTAAGAGTTAGAAAGAGAAGCAGACGCTAGGATCCCAGAAATCAAAAGCAGAGGAAATTACAGGAGGGTATTAAATATAGAACAGAGAAATGAACTAAGAAAAGCAGTGAAATAAATTAATTGTATTTATGATGCATAGCAGGAGCGGTTTCATGAATTGGCAGCATTCTAAACTAAACTCCAGTAGTTTGCAAAGTGAATGGAGGCTACCATATATAGCTGTCTGTACAATTCTTTGTAGAAATTTGGAATATAAGGAAGCCGAGAAGCAAGTTAGTAACTAGAAGTAAATGAAAGACCAAAGGAAGATCTCTTTATGTTTAAATCATATACTTCATACTCATTTCTAACCAGATAGGCTCCACTTAATAAATTTAATATTAAAATAATATAATTATTAAAGTCCTTATTCTATGTTCCCAATTAACCTAATAATATCTGGTAAACTCCTGTCTTAATCAAATTAATATCCAAGCCATGGTGTGTCTTTTAAGTTTCTTTAATCTAGAATAGTATATCAGCCTGATTTATTTTTTTAATATGGTCATGGCATTGCTATATTTTTAAAATTCCAAGTCATTTTTGCAAAATGTCCTTCAATTTGGGCTTGATTATATTCTTCTTCCTTCCCCTGCCCTTTCTCCTCTCCCTCCTTTTTTTTATACTCCTCCTACTCTTCTTTTTTTTCTTCTCTTCCTCCTCCTTCTTTCTTCTTCTTCTTTAGAGGAATATCATGTATGTGGTATTGTGTTATTATCAAGGAATCACATAATGAGGCATGTCATGCCAATTTGTTTCATTATTAGTGAAGTTAAGTTATACTACCTATTTAAAGTGGGTGTCTGCCTAATTGTTATATCATAAAGGTATACAACTTTATTTTGTAATGATTGATTAATCTGTGAGGTGATAATTTGAAACTATGTTTTTGAAACTATGCATGTTTTTCAACAATATTCTGGCCAAAGCATAGCATCAATTCAAAATTATTTCCTGACTCATATTTTACTATGATATTTATGAAATAGTAATTTTTCAAACTCTATTATTCTTTTGACACTTATTAGTTGGTATTTCCTGTGAAAGAAATTTTGGTTCAAAATTTAAGCTGATGCGCAATCTTAGTATTGTCATCACTGAAGGAAATACATACCATTAGAGAACTTTGCCTTAGTACTATGCTGTACTTTATATAAATTTCAAAAGATAGTTCATTCATATTCTAGAAGGAACATGGTTTCCAAGTTAAAAGCTAAATTAAGACATACTTTTCCTTCTCCAGCACTATTTTAGTTAGCACTTGCTTAAACTATAAAAAATGAAAGAAATAAACTTGATTTTTGAAACCCTGGAAATACCTACTTTCCAGAAACAGTATAATAACTAACTCATATACTTTTGTGAACTGTTCTAAAAAGGAGATCATGCTAAGAACTATTTCCATCACTTTTAAGCTAAAAAACAAAATTAGAAAGAAACTGTGTTCTCCCCTATATTTTCCTAGCCAATCAAAATATTTTTCTATCAATTGTAAACTAAAAATTATAATGACCAAGTGGAATCAAATAATCAAAGTGTGATAACACCACTGGACTAACAGTATGTTGAAAAACACTCCTGTTGGCTATACAACAAATTAATTTGTTGTCACTCATTAGCTACAAAAGACAGCATGAGACTGCCTAGAGAAGTCCCAGAAAGAACTTTAAAGCAAATTTATAAAATCAGACTAAATTAAACAACTTGAAAATGTATTTGGAGTCCTATGAAGAAGAATTAAACATAGTAACAGCAGATAGATTCTTTGGTTGCTGCAGTGAAGATTAACATCTGAAGAACATTTTTCCTTTTCCCCATATGTTGGAATGTGACTTTTCTTGAACAACTTGACCTAAGCAAATATTTTCAAAAATAACTATAGTTTGTGAAAAGTTTAACTGAAAAGATATTCTCAGAGTTAGCAATATCTCATTCTCACAGCCATAGTTCTCATTCTGTCCCTTACTTTCCCTCACCTGAGATATAATATCAGACTCTCACTTCTAAAGTATTTTATTTTCCTTTCTCTACACCACATGTAATTTAATATTTTTGCAATTGTAACTGCTCACATTTG